TGTGTGTGTGTGTGTGTGTGTGTGTGTGTGTGTGTGTGTGTGTGTGTGTGTGTGTGTGTTAAAACGCATCACTCCGTGATGAAATTCACAGGCATTATCCTTGCTGTATAGTAAAGGCATGAGCAGCTATGGGCCCCCCACAGTGAGCTTGCTGTCAACGGCTCTCTAATCCGTCTGCCTACCTCAGGACAGCGTGAACCCCCCGTTACTGCCTACCCTGACCGACTCGTATTACCTGGAGGAGTGGGAGAGGCTGCAGGCCAAGTGGGTGGAGCTTGAGGATCAGAGGCGGAGCTTCCAGAGGGAGAGGCAGGCCTTCACAGAAGCAGCCATCCGATTGGGCCGTGAGGTGGCTTGGGTGGGAGGGTGTCGCCGAGTATGGGGGGGGTTTGCCGGTGTGTGTCCCCTCCCCTCTAACTTCGCGTGTGTCCCCAGCGGTGGCAGTTTGAGCAGCAGAAGGCCATCCATCTCGCACAGCAGATCCTGTGCCACTCGCCCTGGGACCAGCCCACCCACGACAGGAGAGAGAGCAGCATCATCTGTGAGTGTCCTGCAGCTACAGGGGAACGGGGCACTGTGATGTTGCTTTGTCATCGTCGCCGTCAACAATGACAACGATGACAATTTTATTATTTTGATTAATTGTTATGCAGTGCTTTTTGCAGCCCAAAGACACTAACAGCATTCAGTGACAGAGGAGGCAGTGGAGGGAGCAGAGAGCCGGGAGCTGGAGGGCTTGGGGGGTGGGAAGGTCTTTAAGGCGCGATCTTAGGGACGAGCTCCAGGCTGCACCGCTGGCCTCGCTCAGCTCTGCGTGTGGGTGCTGTTTCAGCCTGCTGCCTCCGACCATGTCTGTGTGACGTCCAGCAGCTCATAGGACCTACTCCGCCTCCCCCGCCGCCTCCCCCTCGCCCCGGGAGCCTGGCATCGCGCCATGGGCAGAGCACAGCCCGGCCCAGACGCCCAGCACCCCCGAGCTCTACTCCGCCCTGCGGCTGCCCTTTCACCCCAGGTCGGCCTCCCCCACCCCACACCCCCCAGGCCTTGTCTCTATGAACAGTGCAATCCACCCAACCCAAAATGTGACTTTGAAATCCTCCATTACAGGAGATCCAGGGGCAGCCTGGTAGGCTCAGAGAGGCAGAGCCGCGAGAGGCAGAGCCGCGAGAGGCAGAGCCGCGAGAGGCAGAGCCGCGAGAGGCAGAGCCGCGAGAGGCAGAGCCGCGGCCACAGATCCCTGGAGTGCTCTTTTTAGACTGTGTGTCTGTGTGTGTGTAAGGCATTTCAGTTCCTATTCTAATAAAGAGGCTGACTTATCGCCGCCTTGTACGGACCCTTTCCCAGTCTCTCCCAGTCTCTCCCCGCCCCTCTCCTCCATGCCGACACGCTCCTTCAGCAGTGATGGTATCTCAAAGCTCTCCGCTGGACCTTAATGTTCCTCCTGCCCCTCTGAGCCTCAGCTTCTTGCTTTCCGGAATATCCACAGTTTGCTGCTTGGGGGGGGTGGGCTCTCTTCTACCCCCAAATGAATGTGGATGTGAGGCCGGCTTTACAGTAGTGCCATGCCCCCCGCCGCCGCAGCGTGTGAGGGAGTGATGGTTTGCCGACTCTGTGTGTTCTGCCCCCCGCCACACGTGCGCTGATGTTCGTTGGGCTGTGGGGGGGCGGGGGGGTGCTGTGCTGTTTATCGCCCTTGTGTGCCTGTGCTGGTTGCAACCTGTAACCTGCCTATTTATAAACCCCCGTACTGCGTAAGGCTGGGGCTGGGGGGCAGCTGCATGGGCCGAGGGGGGCGGGGGGCAATGCATATGAGAAGCTAACGGCCTGCTTCCCCCCCAGACTGTCCCAGTGGACCCTTCTGCTTGGCTATGACAGTGTGTGCTGCCCCCCCTGTTGACAGGCCAGAGGTGAAATGGTTTGTCACCCTCATCTTCTGATGCAATAGTCTGAAAAATGGAATTAAAATTTGATGCGTAGTAATCGCTGCATTTCCTGCTCCTCTGTGGTTCGAGCAGCCGGCAGCCATGCTGCGGCGCGGGCCGCTCCTGCCCCGACCTGCCGGGCTCTCAGTCCGCGTTCTCCTGCCCAAACACTCCCCTCTCACTGTGTAAATGATCTTCCCCTCTGTCCCTGCGTGTCCCTATACAGCTGTGACCAAAAATACTGCCATCACTCCAGTTATTTAACAAAATTTACCAACTGTCCCACAAACATGCTGACATTACACATGTTTCCATTTTAACATGTGTATTTCCTTTATTTGCAATATAAAAACAAGATAGAATCTTTTTTATTCACCAAGTACAGAGAAGTACAAGGAATTTCTTTTGGTGTGGGTGATGTCATCATATATAACCAAAACATATAAACATCTATAAGTAAAGGTACAAGGATTTATTTATTTTTCTTTGGAAAAAAGCTAAATGTAATTTTATTTGACACACAACTCCAGAATTTGTACTGACAAAATGATTGGCAGCTCGTATAAGTTGTAAATAGTTGCATTTCAGGCTGGTGATCCTGTTTATTTTTCATTTGAACTCACCTGTGACAGTTACAGGCGTTGCCAGTTTAAAAAGCACCACGATCAACCAGTTTAGAGAGGAGTTGCTCTGGCCTGTGTTGTGTGTCTGCATAAACTCCTCCCCTTCGTGTCCTCTAAATGATCACAGATTCTGGACTTTTTTGGTCTCCTGTATATCTGTTCTGTCACAGGGTGGGAGGAGGAATGCAGACAGACTGTCAAGATGCATTTACAGTCTTTTGTTGCTATTAGGTGACAGTCATTTCTCACAAAGTGGGGGGGGTGGTCATTACGTCCTGGGCCTTGTGCACTAACACACCTCTCTTAAGATTGTCAGATATAAGTAAAGATATTCAATGCATAAAAACTTCCATTCAAAGAGGAATTTAGGGTAAAGGTTTTGTAAGAAGGGCAGGATCCGCGTGCGTTCCCTGGTAGCCGATCCGCGTGCGCGTTCCCTGGTAGCCGATCCGCGTGCGCGTTCCCTGGTAGCCGATCCGCGTGCCCGTTCCCTGGTAGCCGATCCGCGTGCCCGTTCCCTGGTAGCCGTCGGCACACGCCGGGATCCGCGTGGCGATGTGCCAAGGCAGAGTCCGGCTGGGTGGCGCGACCCCTGAGCCCAGCGACAGTGCTGGGCCAGAACGGGACAGCTGAGGCTCCAGACTGACGCAGCCAGAGGGATGAAGGAGAATAACGTCAGCACACATCAGGGGGGGGATGTCTTAAAGAGCAGTTAATGAAGACAGAAGAACATGGATAATATTAATGGTTTTACCTTAAACATTCAGCTTGACCCACCCAGCCAGATCAAGATAAGTTAGTGTGCAGATCAGCAGGTTAGGAAGTCCGGTCGGAAGGTCGTCAGTTCAAAACCTAGGGTTGGCCTTGTGACCGTCAGATCGCCGAACAAGGCCCCTAACTCCAGCGGCCCTGGGGACTGTCTGACCTCGCATTCTCAGAAAGAGAATGTAGCTTTGGGTTATTGTAGAAGGAATGCAGTGTAAGATCTGTGGCTGGAGACCAGCTTCCCAAAGGCTTTGTGCACATGAAGAACGAGGGCATGGACCAGCCAGACTTCAACGTGCCGGTTCACCGGCGAGTCTCCCGCTAGCCGTCACAGACGGCCCCCGGGGGTGCTATCTCCTCCGCTGTGACAAAAAGCATTTAACCTTTTACGTTTTCCCTTCATTTTAGGGCATTTCTATGGAAATAAGCCAGTGGAATGGCATGCGGCTGTGAGGTGGGGGTGGGGAGAGGGCTGTGCATCGCGCCCACGCTGGGGGTCTCTCACGCAGCCGCACGGCAGGCGTGGGGGAGGGGGGGCACAGCTGCACGGTGGATACCAAGGGGTTAACAGTCTGGCACGGACTGTGAGAAAAATATGCATGGTGGGGTGGGGCCTGTCTGGGGTGGGATTTTGATTCGGGGCAGAGAGCAGGGTGGGGAGAGGGGGCTGTTTCAGGAGACGGGGGTTAGGTATAATGGGGGGCAGGGCACTGGCAATTTTCATTCAAGCTGAGACCCCCCTTCTTTCGCTCTTCCTCCCTCTCTCTCCTGTTCCCTCTCGCTCCCTCCCTCTGTACTTCCTCCATCTTCCTCTCTCTCTCTCCTGTTCCCTCTCGCTCCCTCCCTCTGTACTTCCTCCATCTTCCTCTCTCTCTCTCCTGTTCCCTCTCGCTCCCTCCCTCTGTACTTCCTCCATCTTCCTCTCTCTCTCTCCTGTTCCCTCTCGCTCCCTCCCTCTGTACTTCCTCCATCTTCATCTCTCTCATTCTCTCTCTCCCCCTCTCTCGTGTTACCTCGCTCCCACTCCTCTCTCTCTCTCTCTCTAATTCTCTCACTCCCTCCCTCTCCCTCTCCCCCCTCTCTCTCATGCTCCCTCTCTCTCCTCCTCACACACCCAAGAACAGAGCTTCCTCAGACTTCGGATGGAAGCTTTAGAGCTGCAGGAGGCGGCGGCCCGGGAGGAGACCCTCTGGGATGGGGGGCCAGGCGCCAGAGGAGGAGAGGGACAGAGGTAAGCAGGGTGAGATGGGGATGGAAAGTGTGGGGGGGGAGACAAGCCCCGGGATTAGAGCCGGCAGGGGAAGGTGGGGGGAGATGAAAGATGCATGAGAAGGAGGACAGGAACGAGGGATACTGGAGAGCAAGACAGAGAGAGAGAGCATGGATCTCAGGTCAGCACGGCGGTGGGGGAGGACTCCACAGAATGACAGTGATTCAACGGACCCTGCACAGAATCCCTGTTAACTTCTTGTTTTAATGGACACACTGTTTATTTACTGAGCACCGGATACATTAGTCATGTACTGAGCACTGGATATGTTAGTTATTTACTTAGCACTTTGTCTTTATTACTCCCCTAACACTTTGTGTAAGTTATTCACTGTACACTTTTAAATGTAGCTCATTTTTATATGTGCTGCAGTGAGCGATTGACCCAGATTCTGGGAGGTGAAGGTCTGTCCGTCACGGGACACATGTGGACGCACCGTGCCGCTCTCTCAGTGTGCTGTGCTGTTCAGAGTACGCCCCTGAGGTGAAACACGCGCTACCGTGTATGTTCAGGCTCCTCCTGTGTCATTACTTAGGGACATGCCTGATGTCCGGTGTGCGTCTGCCTTCCTGGGCCTCGGTGTGCGTCTGCCTTCCTGGGCCTCTCATCTGTTTAACCTTCCAAGTGTGTTGCGGTCGGTCAAGCAGGGGCTGGGTATTGATCCAGTCTGTAGCAGGCAAACACATGCCCAGGCCCAGACAAGGAGGTTCAGTTGGCGGGGGGGGGGGGGGCATGTCCAACATGAGGTTGTTTTCATCAGTAACATCGGTGCTTCGCAGACAGGCATGCAGACACACGCACCTCACCCGTCTGCGCTGATCTGACCTCCCGAGGCTCAGAAGTGATATAGTGTGGTAAAGCCAGCCATGTTTATTCACAGGAGTATTACTCGTGAGAACCGGAGGCAAACGTTACAAGTTGCGAGAGTGCAGGGCTGAGCCCAGCAGCCGTCTATGCAGGGGCTCCCTCACCCCAGGCCATGCGCTAGAACCAGAACCACCCTAGCGGTCACCTAGGGGGCGCCACTGTGCAGATTCGTGATTCTGGGTGTGCATTTGTTTTGGTTTAGCATCCAACACCTCCATGAAAGGCTGCATGCACGGGTGGGTAATGCATCTCCTGCATGTCCCTGCACGTCGTGTGACCGCCCCCCCCCCCAGCCCCCAGGGCTTTTACTGCACATGCAGCTGGTCACGTCGTCTGCACACAGCACCTGGGCAGGTGGGCCCTAACAGGAGCCGGTCCGAGAGTGGGGAGGCCGGCGTGTCTCGGAAAGGCCGGCGGCCCTCATCACGTGGTGAGGAACCCCCTCCCCCCACGGGGGCCAAGGGTCACACTTCCAGACAGCCTCTCTCTCACAGGCACGCAAGCCTTTGACCTTTGCTGTTCAGCGTGTCTGGAAATTCTGAGCCTGGAATCGATCAACCCCCCCCACCCCCCCACTGCACCCCCATCTCCAGACATAAAGCCCCACCACCCTTCCCCCCACCTCTTTCTATTTCTCCCAGCTGCCTCCCCCACAGTGACAGAATAGAGTAGCACAGCAGCTGGGTTGGGGCAGACGATCATGCCCAGGGTAACCAGAGCGTGTGCGTGTATGTGTGCGTGCACGTGTGCATTAGTGCGTGTCTGTACGTGTCTGTGAGTATGTGCGTGTGAGTGTGTGTCTGCCAGTGTCACAGTTTCCATTTTTCCCAGTTAAAATCAAGGTTGTAAACAGACAGCCTGCCAAGTGTGTAGGAAGAAAAATGAACAGTTATTACCAGAGTAACATTTATGGGGAAACATCATAAGGTTTCAGCGTTCACATATGGAAGGAGCTAGTATGTGGATTTGTGCCACAGGAGTAGGTGATATGGGAGCGTGTGATACCGGAGTCTGTGATACGGAAGTCTGTGATATGGGAGTCTGTGATACAGGAGTCTGTGATATGGGGGTGTGTAATATGGGAGTCTGTGATACGGGAGTCTGTGACACAGGAGTAGGTAATATGGGAGTCTGTGATATGGGAGTCTGTGATATGGGGGTGTGTAATACGGGAGTCTGTGATATGGGGGTGTGTAATACAGGAGTCTGTGATACGGGAGTCTGTGACACGGTAGTCTGTGACACGGGAGTCTGTGATATGGGAGTCTGTGATACGGGAGTCTGTGACACGGGAGTCTGTGACACGGGAGTATGTGATACGGGAGTCTGTGACACGGGAGTCTGTGACACGGGAGTGTGTGATACGGGAGTCTGTGACACGGGAGTCTGTGACACGGGAGTCTGTGACACGGGAGTGTGTGACACAGGAGTGTGTGATATGGGAGCGGATGCAGAATGCCGTCAGGTCTCGTCCTTTCGGGCTGAGCCTCGGGGAACATTCAACGCTGTCGGTGAGTTTGTGACATTGGGAAACCATCGAGCGCTGGGTGTACCCTGCCCCCAGCCAGGCGTCCGGCGAGAGGCGGCCCGCTTTCACGCCTGCCATCCTCCACGTACAAACAGTCAGCAATGAGACTCATTAACATAATGCCGTGGGGAGCGCTATCCCACAAATGCCACAGATTAGAGCTACCAAACATATATATTAGACCTGAGATTAATCCAGGTATTCAGCAGTTACTGTTAGTACATATAGGTCAGCAAGATAATGGTTCCCAGTCACTGCTGTCGGCGGGTCTGAGATTAAACCCCCCGGAAAGTGGACGGGAACCATGGCCACACGCCATTTTTGGGGCGTCAGATCACCTGAAACAATGCTACCCGCCTCTTTTTGCATTATATCACCAAATCACACTTTTCAAGGCAAAACCGTAAAATATACAGTCTTGCAGGTTCTGTAGCAGTCGCATGTATCAAACCTGGTTGGAGTAAAGCTGTAAAGGAGAATGAAAAAAGATAATTACACCTTTAGCAGCAGACTGTGATTGCAAATGATGCACGAAGGACCTCGAAGAGCAGAGCACCGGCGTCTGAAACGTCACGCTGAGACACTCGACTGACTCCAAACTGAACTTACAGCCTGTACTTTATTCTTCTGCACATTACAGAGAGAGCTCAGCAGGTCTGGTGTGGGGGGGTCACACTTACAGATGTTCATCCCCTCCCTCAGCCGCCCTCAATGACTCCCCCTCAATGACCCCCCACATGGTTATATGGCTGTATAACACGTCAGACAGGAGGAGCTGCAAAAATGAAAACCATGAAGAGACATATACCCCTGTATCCTTATTCTTGCAATTTATTTTGCACTATATACTAAAATTGTTATTTTGAAGCGGTGGGACCAGGCGGCGGTGGGAGGTGTCCATACCTGAGGCAGTGCCGCATATTTCTGAATCTTCTTTATTTTAATATGTTTAAGAAGCGTCCAGCATGAAAGTGCCATATTGTCTCTTAACCTCTATCACCCTGGTAGAAATTTAGACAAGCTAAAGTGTTAGTTAGAAAAGCACTGAAGAAAGTAGTCCGAAGTTTGTTTGCTATTGTACACGTCTGACATACTGAAGTCCTTCATATCTAAGCCTTTGAGTTTTAAACTGGTCTCTGTCATGCCCACCGTATGTGTCAAATTTTTGTCATTATTGATGCATGAATTGAAAGAGTTTGTGCTCTACTTCAGTGTAAAGCTCCGTAGCATCAAAATATATCCTCATACATTAATATCACACTGTTCACACGTGAATTCTTGATAGATTGTGTATGCTTGCTTACTCACAAATATAATATTTGTAATATATCATGATGTATTCATACCGAGTGAGAGAGACTGCTATGTCCTGCTTAAACCTGACGAATGCATATGTGTACGGGGAAATCTTATTACTGCACTGCCGTTTGCTGTAAAATGGTAATCCAGTAAAATGTAATATTCATGTGTTTTGCATTGATGTATTCACGGAACGGTGTACGGTACTGTACATATGAAAATGCCCATTACAAGGTTCCCTATGTTTTACCTCGTAGTGGATTTATACCTTAAATGCTCCCATTATCGATTTTTGCCGGCGCAGTGTGATTGGCAGGTGGGCATATACCCAAACTGACAACAAAAAAAAAAACTCTTCAAAATATGCGTGTACAAAATGTTACTGTTGTTCATTAAAGGCTGTTTTCATAATTCATTATTTTCTCTTGTCTAAGGAGTAATAGAATTTAAAATTATTTTACACCGGGAGCATTATTTGTTAAAGGGTATTTCCCTCGGTGTAATAAGAAAACGTAATTAATATGTAATATACTATCAAAATGTGCTCCCCACACTCCTAAGAGTGCATATGCAGCCAGAAATTGTATTATTTAAACTCATATTACGGAAATCTTCTACCCCGGGGTGTAATCAGAAAATGTAGCATTTTCGATAAGGGTGTTATGGTAGTAAATGTGGCTGGATGTTTGAGTCACAGCGCTTGTTGGGAGTCTCTGCCATCCACACCAGACTCCTTTTCCTCGCTAGATGAGACGCGGAAGATGAGAGGTTACGAGGTACAGCAACGTACGGAGTTCACAAAGTGCCAAAGTCTGTTTTTTTATCTTGTACGCACAAGATATCAACGAAGAGTAAATTGTGCGCGTAATATTAATCTTACGCACACAAGACATTATATTGTGTGCGTTGCATAATTAGGACACTGAACACATGTGAAGGTGGAGTGGCAAACGCTTCTCTCTAAATTCTACTTAAATCTCGGAATGTCGTACAGACATTCATGTTACTCTAGATCTATAACACTAAACATCGGATTGTAATCAGCAGAAACAGAATTATGCAAAAGGTAAAGTTTATCTAGTGTACACGATATAATTTCTTATGTACCAACATGATTCATAATTCCAGTTTTTCGCACAAGATAATCATGTAACATCGTGAGCACAAGAAAAAACCGTGTTCACTCGATAACATTAGTATATAACAAGAAATTAATAATATATTAACTAATAAACAAGAAATATTAATATATAACAAGAAAAATATATACTTTTGGGGCAATGAACCCACGTATTCACCACAATTTTGGTTCAGGTAATGTTTTGTAAAATATATTAGAAATAAGCATTACTGTTACTAGGTTACAGACACGCCACCTTAGGGCAACTGTGAGGGGGGTGCCATCTACGTTTGGACAGTAAAACAGTATAACCACCCCCCCCTCCAAACAAATGATGGGGCTCAGAGTAGATGCTAGAGCAAACACGAGCATGCAGAGTGAGTGTAAATACCTGAGTGAAATGCTGGAGTTAATGTGGCCAGTGGAATAGTGAGTGGAGGCTGTCTGTCTCTACCACAGCAAAACAGTAGCTTCAGTCCAAAGTAAGAGCTGGATTAACTCAACTAGGCAAATATTTTATTCAATTATGTCAAGAGACAAGTGGAAAATGACTGATCTATTCAGAAGAACCAGGACCGCTTGTCTGGGCTGATGCAGGGTTGGACCCCTCCGGTCGGCTCTCTGGATCTGCAGTAGGTGCCTGGTTAGGGGTTGGGGGACGGCTGTCTATGGCTCGGGGCGTCTGGGGCCGTAGGGCCGGCGCAGGGGTGGCTTCGGGGTCCTGCCTCGACGCAGACTCTCCAGCTCCCGATGGGCGGCCATGACCATCCGACTGGGGATGGGGTGTGAGGAGACAACAACAAATGCTGAGTAATGAATGGATCTCGTTAGTCCGCGAGCGGCTACATACATGAACAGCTGCGGTCATTAAGTGCAGCCAACCATCTAATCCCAGGCTGCTTATCCAGCAGCGGCCAAGCAGGCTGTGCATCCGAGGTTCCTGCCTTCCCTTCCTGGCCAGATGGACGTGGCCAGGAACACGGACACTTGTTATTCTGGAAATGCTGAGGAAATATAAAACTGTGCATCGTGCTCAGAAGTGTGTTTTTGTAACGAGCGCACTTCCGATCACAATAATAAGTTATACGCAGGCTTTATGGTAGTCCGTTGGTAAGTAGGAACTGTTCAGAAGTCGGACGTTCTTAACCCAGGGACAGCCTGGATTGTGTGATTCGCACTTCCATACTGGGAATGGAACTGGTTCCAAAGGCTTCGGTGATCTGGCTGAAGACCGCGGCTCACGGGCAGGTAGCGGCAGGGACCTGTGGTACGGGGCAGTGACCGCGCGCATGACGGCTGTTCATTACCGCCGTTCACCGGTGATGGGTTACCTTCTCTCACTCATCTCCTCCATGCTTTTACATGCATGGTTACTCTGAGGTGGAGTGAGCTGCCCAATTCCACCCAGACTGTAGAATCCCTCGCTTCCGTCTCTTCTGGAAAAGCCCAACCTGACTTCCCCTCCCACTGACCCTCAAGGGGAGTCACCGTCTATCATTGACTTGTTCCATCTCAAAAAGGTTCCCTTGGTACCACTAGATGCCTTTCTGTGTTTTTGCATATTGCACTTAGACTGTTTGTTACCCAGGTTCCCTCTTGGGAGATATTTGTGCTGATTGTTCTGTACCTGAACCTGCCCTTTAAATGACAGATTGACTGCAGAGTATTTCTGATCACAAACGAGAGCTTCCTAAAGCCTAGTCTGTGAAGCTCTTTTGGCTCCACAAGTATCTGGCACTTGTTACTGATCACTCTGTGGAAGCTCAGCCCCCCAGCACTCGTACCTACAGTAAGCTGGCTCCATGACAGCTCTGTGCGTGTTTCGTATTATATGCCTCATGTGAATGCGTGACCCTGTGCATGGACACAACCGCTGGTGAGTCCCCTCTACTACATCCCTCACGGTCCCCGAGATGGATGGATGACGGAAGCAGAAACACAGGTCGGTGGCGGGATCCCCAGCCCAGGGTGTGTTACTCTGTCATTACTGTGCAGATTTGACTGAGCTGTTACCAAACACTGAGCTACACGCTGCATCTCTCACAGGCCTGAGCTGTGCTTAATCCACCTGTGACCAAGGTTAACCGCACTGCACCGGTCTAGTGTTAATTTCGTCAGACGAGACGAGACGAAATATGTTCGTCAACGACCTTTTTTTTCATGACTAAGACGAGACGGTGACAAGACTGTACCGCTGTCCAAAAACGCTGACTAAGACTAAATTAACATGGATTATTGTTGACGAAAAAAGACGAGACGAAAATGTTTTGCATAAAATAAAAACTAAGATAAAAT